ATTTAACTTTGCAGAACCACAGATTGTGTTTTCTAGAGTGCTGGTTTGGTACAGGGAAAGCAAATGAGATAAGATCCTAATGACTGATTTGATTTTGTAAGTCACAGCAAGACAGTTCATACCTGTGCCCTAACCTTATTTGTGGAACTCCCCACAGGACTGAATAGGTTCAAGTTGGCAGTTTTACACGATCTGTTTCAGATAATATAACAATGACCAATGAACATATCTTTTACTCTCTACATAGACAGAAATTCACATTTAACTCATGCATTTGTGCTCAGCAGCCTTTCTATTCTCTTCCTGTCCCCTCGACTTCAAGACTGATGTGGGCCTGATGTGGGAACATGTGGGTAATCTGTCTGCATAAACTGGACAACAATTATTTGCACACCTTTTCATAATGTCTCTGAGAGTGATTGCAGCCTAAGTGTGTCTTTTTTGTTGAGCCAGTATAATTTAGATTCACCAACTAATTGACCACATGGTGAAAGGTCACACTGCATATACCCAGCTCCAGGAAGAGGTTCAGCAGAGGTCAGCTGATGCTTTTAATACTGCAGTTCCCAACAATGCTTTTGCACATCTGTGATCTTCATCAGCTGGGCTAGAATAATGTCAAGTATGCTTTAGGGAGATTAGAAGCTCAGTAATGTTGTGCTTTCAGTGCAACTCAACTGTTCTCTGGAGGAATAGCAAGTTTAATTTTTTGATATATGGTACTTCACGTTTGCTGAAGATTGAATATAGATTCCATGCTCACCAACCACCATGGCATTAATATAGGTAATATCAGCTATCATTATAGGTGTCCTGGCAACAGTGTTTTTAATTTTATAGGCTTCCTTTTGCTGGCGAGAATATCTACAGCTACTTGAACAACCATTTGAGTTCGATGGCCAACTCCTGCTCTGCTGTCGATCTGCTGGGGTCCAGTCTTCACGTGTGGCCGGACTTTCATGGAAACAGGTCGCCCCTGGCTGACCCAACTTTGAAGGGCATGGTAAAGGCTATGACTTAAAAAGAAGGATATGTGTAGACTGACGTTGTGTTGGATGTGTGAGTATCAGATTTTAAGTTAAGGTATGCCTGCTTTGAATGTTTCTTCCTTTTTGTGCATTTGGGGTTTTCCTAATTTTTTCTTAATGTTCTCTTATGCACGTGGAAGTCTGTGTTTCAAAGATCCATGCTCTACAGAATGATTATGAATGAATTCCACAATGATTCCACATATATGTGTGAGGCTTTTAGAAGCAGCAACATATACGCAATTCTGACTGGCTGCTTTCCTGTTTTTGCACTTTTTTCATTTGTCACACATTTAAAAGGTTTAATCAAAACAAATACATAAATTCCATTGTAAAATGAGGGCAAATGATTAAAGTCAGACGTAGGGCTGTTCGATATAACGATATATATCGGATGACGATATAAAAACGTCTATCGTTTCATTTTACGCTATCCTTTGTTTTGTGGCATCGCAAAATAAACAGTTTACGGCAATATTTTTTAATGGTTTTGATGGTCACTGTAGTGGCTATATTAATTTCTTAAAGTTCTCTCTTTCTCTTATATTTAATATAACCACACTACGGA